CTCAGAGCCTTCTCTTTCCAGTCCTCTTAGAGCCACTGGGTCCTCTCTTCCAGCTGATCTTGCCCAAACCACAGCCTCTACACCACCAAGCCTTTAAGTTACAGGAAGGACCGGAGCCATCCTGCAGGGCCAGGCCTAAGGGCAGTGAGTTGGAGGGATGCCCAGGGCCCTTTTGTTTTCTTTCCATCTTGGCTGGAGGCCAGAGATGAGGCTAGTGAAGATGAGAACTTGAAAGAAAGCCTTAGAGCAGAGCGCTCCAGACAATAGCTGAAAAAGGAAAGCTCGGCTTTCATTAGTCCTCCAAATTAGGGGGTTTCTTTGTACTTTTACATCTATTCTTAGCGTTAGAAACCTAAAATAATTTTGGACAAGATGCAGAAATGAGCATAAGCTCTTCTGAAACCAGGACATACACCTCCAGATGCAGAGCCACCCTGCCCCAAGGTCATGTTAACCTGCAAGGTCCCACTCTGATGACCCATGGAGACAGGAAAGAGTACCACACCCAGACACCTCAACTCCACATAGGGTTCTTTCTCCCCAGAGGCTCCTATGGCTCAAGCAAGGTTGTCATCAATACCGTATGGAAGATGAACTTCTCTCTCCCCTCCCACAGCCCACCATCCCGCCTCCTTCCCCTCCCTTTCACCTGTGTGGATTCTAAGAGTCCTCATCAGCACACCCCACTTCCTGACACCATCTCAGACTTTGCTTTCCTGTCTCCAGTCACCGGAGATAGTCAGGATCTGCAGCAAGTTCAAGGAAGGAATGAAACAACACTGGGTGACATCCAGGGACCACAGCAAGAACAGAGGAAGTATTGGGGGGTCCTATGTAGGATGGCAGTGACATTTTGTAAGTGGTAGTGGAGAGAGAGCCAAGCACTGCCGCCAGCAGCCTGAGGGGTTAAAACTGGACTCTTGATGCAGAAGAATTTCAGTCAAAGCCAGAGAAAGCAGAATTAGAGAGCTTATTAAATATTTAGAGTCATATAGGAAAAGTATGGTACAGGACAATGTGGGCTTTCTGAGACAGAGGGACACTTGGGTATCTTCAAAGATATATGTATGTGTGTATATTTATATGTGCACACATACGCACACACATATATACATACATCCTGTGACTTTCCAAGTTTTATGTCTCAAAGAATGTAATTTATAATAAGACTTAAAGTTTTAGTACAGTGTAGCTAGAGTTTCCTGCCCAAAGTCAGGACAAATCTTTGTCACCCGCCAGTCCCACAGCCACTCAGACCCAACCAAGTAAACACAGAGACTTATATTGCTTACAAACTGTATGGCCATGGCAGGCTTCTTGCTAACTGTTCTTATAGCTTAAATTAATCCATTTATAAATCTATACCTTGCCACGTGGCTGGTGGCTTACCGGCATCTTCACATGCTGCTGGTCATGGCGGTGGCTGGCAGTGTCTCTCTGCCTCAGCCTTCCGCTTCCCAGAATTCTCCTCTCTCCTTGTCCCACCTATACTTCCTGCCTGGCCACTGGCCAATCAGTGTTTTATTTATTGACCAATCAGAGCAGTTTGACATACAGACCATTCCACAGCAGTACAGCTTAAACTGAAATACAGTTTAGAAGTTAAGTAAAAATATACGAAGCTGGTTTACTTATTTTTCTTATCTTAAGGAATTTCTTTTCTCTGTGAAGTTGTGAGGTGGTTTTGTGAGGTGCATTGTTCAGACTGAGGGGTGAGAGAAAAGGGCCATCATGAATACACTCAAGGCTACTTCCTGGCTCTAAGTAATTGAGGCTCACTTGTTCTTAAACATCCTTGTTTAAGATGGCCTTAGGAAAACATGAATTATCTCTGTAGGCAATTTTGGCTTTTTTCAGTTGTGTTAAAATTTCTTGACTCACAGTCAGCAAGGAAGGCACATTGGATTCTTGCAGTGAGGTGATTCTTTCCCTTTTCATGTCCTCTTCATTTTCTGCCTTTCTACTCTGCTTTCCAGGAAGAGGAAACAGTTAAAAGATGTAAAAGGGCCCGAAACACTCACAGTGTTCATCTAAAGTGAATGTAGGCACAGATGTAACGTAGACGGCTCCCCAGCAGAGATAATCTTTGAATACAGCTCTAAAAGTGAATGGGTTATTTCTAAGCACAAATGTGGGGCTAGGAGGCTCCCAGTCCAATGGGAGACAAGGTTCTGGAGGTATGAAAGGAATCCATTGCAACTCGAGAATGGGCTTCACCCAAGAGAATGCAAAAATTCTAAACGTGCAAAGGTAAGTCACAACCAAGACTCCCAGCTACTGGTGCCAGTGGTAGTGATAGTGGTGATGGTGTGTGTGTGTGTGTGTGTGTGTGTGTGTGTGTGTGTGTGTGTGTTCTGAGAAGAAAACTCAAGATCAGTGTTGGAAGGGTTTGAATGGGAGACTACTCGGAGGCTCCAGCCGAAGCCTGTGAAAATTAGACAAGATAAGACTATACAATAGCAAGCAAGCACAGTGACGGGGCCTGAACAAAGAAGCCAGCTTGAAGGATATTTTGCAGAACTTGAAAAGAAACTGGCTGGCTGGGACTGAGGATAGAAATGGAAATGAATGTCCCTTTTTTTCTGGTTTGTATAACTTGTTGGCTAATGGTGCCAAAGAGAAGGACAGAGAGAGAAGTAGGTCTGTGTGTTAAAAGGAAAGAGAGAGAAGTTGGCTGTTCTTGTGCACACATTCCTGTTGTGACAGTGAGAGGGGATTCAGAATGGAAGGAATGGGTGAGGATAGAGATAGGCCATTCCTTCTTTCATTGGTGGAACATGAGGTCAGGAGAGAAGGGGAGATAGCTCGGGAGAGAGTCCAGTGTCTTCTGAAGAGAGATAGGTCTACACAGCCACCAGTGAAGAAGGAATAGCCATCAGAAGTTCTGCTGCTCAGAGAGGCTCGGATGGTGGGTGAGGGCACCCCGAAAAAGGAAGTATGAAAGAGTCAAACTCAGTTACCACAGATGAGAGCAGAACATGAGAGGCAAGATGCCAAAATAGACCATGAGTAAGAGTCATCGGTTGTTGAAGACTTTGACCCAGGTAGCTGCAGTATCTGGGAGTTGGGGAGGCAAAGGATGATCGAGGGCTGAAAAGAAGGTATGAAGTAGAAGAAGCCAAATAAATAACTCCTCTGATTTAACATTTGCTGAATCATGTCCTGAGTGTTAGCTACCCATATAAACTCAGCCCCTGAACCTTTCTCAATAACTGCAAAGTGGGGTGGGATGTTCATCATAATCAACCCCCCTCCCCACCAGCTGCATGTCAGAGGGGGAAAGGAAGTTGTTTTGTGTCACTCAGTCCTAAGGACACTGTGGGACTGAGATCCAAAACTTTGTGTCCTGGCTCTCCATCCTTTTCATCATTCCATGCTCCCTTTGTTTTTAGAACCAAATGACTCCTTCAAAGCAAAAGGAGAATAAGGAGAGGAGTTGGTGGCCTAAGAGGCAAGCAGAGTCAAAGAACATTGTATCTCCAGAGCTTCCTGTGAGGACAACCAAAACTGTCATGGATGCAATAAGGAGGTTGGACTTCCCCCTCCCCTCCCCCTCTCTCTACTCCTGCCTTCCTCTCCTCTCTTCCATTCCTGTGCATTATAATACATATTCTGCCACTTAAACCCTTTAATTTGAAGCTAATTTTGATTGTCAGGCACTGGGGAGGAGGAGTCAGTTCGCAGCACAGACAGTAAGTGGTCCTCCCTCCTTTAGGCAGTACGATTGAC